CATACTCGGAAGAAAACAGTCCGGGTGGCAAACAAGCCCGAATCGTGGTAAACATGTTTATCTTCTTTCGTCGGGACACAGTATTTACTTACCCCAATTTATCACACCCACCATATAAGTGAACGACTCGGACAGATTACGGTCGTCCATAATTCGCATACTCCGGAAAGACAAAAGCACAGGAAATCGTAATTTGTAGTAAAATAAGATATATTTAAAAAATATCACGAACAGGCAAAACGTGAAAAAGAGACAGGAAGATCGTAAAAAGCAGCGATCGATGGGAAGGGTTATCTAAGGATCGAGATTAGAATAGTTTAAAAAAAGTAGTAAAAATGCGACGGCCTTCGAAAAAAGCAGACCCAGAACCATAAGTAATAGACTAATTCAGCTGATCATTCGAATCAGCGTCAGCAGGTCGCCTAAAGCTTCTCTTGCACAGCCTGTCGCGAGCCTTCTTGAAGGTGTACCTGAAGGCCTCCTCCAGGTGAAAGAGGTCCGATCTCTTGTCAGCGTTCCACTTTTTGAAAACATCTACAGGTAAAATTAAAGGATGAGCAATGCGTGAGGCACTTACCAAGGACAATGCCGTATGTGGTAGAACCGAAGAAAGCGCGCTTGTTCTGACGCGCGCCAAAGAAAGTAAGACAGCGGGTTATATCATCAGAAAAGAGGGAGCCGAATATGCGTTGGGCGAAGGTCCTTATTCTATCTCCTCTCAAGGCGCAGAGATAAGAAGTCTGGGGGAAGGCGTTTTAGCATACCAAATGGAATTACCACTTGTCGACGGTAGTCCGCGTCCAGAACTGCTGCCTCAAACTGCTCGAAATCCCTCTCTGTGGACATTACTTCAACCAGGGGTTTTGAGAAGGAGAGAGGACAACTTGTGGACGGCGATTGCCCTTCCTCGCGCTTGGTTAGAACCAACTGTTTTAATTCCAACACCTGCTTATGCAGTTGCCGATTACTTTGTTTAAGCCAGTAGACTGCTCGCAGGAGCTTTCCCAGCTTTTCTCGAGTGCGTGACCGGCATTTTTTCCGGACAATTTTTCTTTCGCAATCTCCGTCTGCGCGGGGGTGTTAGTATGTTAGACACCTACCAGCATGAGAGAAAGATTTAGCTACCGGCACCACGGCATTCAAGTTGCTGGCGTCTACACTGGAAGCCTACATGATACACTTGCGAAAATGTCGGACCGCTTACTAAGGACGATGAAGATGACGGAATTTTCCCTAGCAGCCATGTATCCTCGTCGACACAGTGTAGATGATCATCGTCACCGGAAGGTGATACGTCCGACATACCTCGGTCTAAAATTGAGTTAAGTCAACGAATGAGACTTCAGATGCTTCAGTAATCGCAGAAACTACTAATATGGAAGTCCCTATTTCTCTTCCTGATTCACAAATTAATGAGGTATCTTTGGGTTCGTGAAAAAAATGATATCTTGCGACGTTTCGATAAAATAAACACTAATGGAAATGTCATAAAAGGTAGGCATCGGACGCAGTAAATAGCTGTGGCAGGCAATTTGAAAATTACAAGATTGGTCGTGACGAACAATAAACACAGGATACGGATGACTGCTGATATTCATCAACATCCCACAACGCGCAAATTTGCACAAATTCAAATGCTCCATTCAGAAGACAACAAGTGTACTTACGGACTGCGAAAAACGGAAGTGGAGTACATGAAATTGTCGTGTCAAGGATGACTTGTAAACAGAGAACTGGATGGGCAGATGGTCGAGATTACCACTTGTGTCCTGCATTTCCAAGGACACTTTTCCACTTTCGATCCGGATTCTGTACACAATCTGGACTTCCATCGAGATCGAGGCACCCAGTGGTACGTGTCCGCAAGGGAGTAACCACCTCAAAGTAAACGGACGCGTTTAAAGCGACTACTGCCAGCTGGTAAAGAACCTATGTTGCGTTCGTATCGCGGTATCCACTCTAATTTTTGGGATTCATGGCCTAATCTGTGTATTGCTTAGCATAATGGATGCGAAGATTCCCTGATCATAAGCTTTACTGTGTGTAAAAACCGACCAAAATGAAGAAACCCTATGCAGCGGCACCTCTTTCGGTGTACGAAGGGCGTTAATGGACATTTTACACCTCCATGGTATACAAAGTTGAATAGCGTCATTTGGAAACTTTGGATATGACTGAATACCGAAAAAGATAGGGGAAACTAGAATGATCATCTTTGGCTTGTTAGCCGTTATCGGCTAACCCCAAGTTCTG